CATAGAGGCAGGTCATATTTCTCTCATGAAAGTGCATGTGAATGAGAATCCCACGGACATATTAACCAAGGTGGTCACAGGTAGCAAGTTTAAGCATTGTTTGAACTTGCTTCATATCAGGCCGTGTTGATCTGCACAAGAGGGCATGGCCCTTCAGGACAGTGATGGGGTGATGTGGAGACTATATGGAAAATAAATTCTGAACTATGATTAGCTTGATCCCGGTGGAGGGTACGTAAGCAGCCGCGGTATAGTGACGCAGCTGGTTTGGCCTGGTTTGGTTTTTCAGATCTATCTCTGGTAATATTCCCGGTGTTCTTCTAGTGTTCGTCCAAAATTTAGTTTATCAAATGATGTACGAGGTGGAGAATTGTGAATATGAGGACCACGAGCGGGAGGGTAAAGCTTGAGCAGGAGGCAAAGCATGTGGGGGCCACACCTACGAGCGTGGAGCAGCAAGCGGCAGGCCCACACATGCGGGTGCGGCCCACCCAAAACATATTTCCTATAAATACCTTTTCAATCGGTTCCTAGAGTTTTTTGTGGGAAAAATAGCAGAGGGTTAGTCGGCTGCAGGTGAAGAAAAACAAAAAAAAGGGTTTTTTGGTGACTGTTTAGAGGAGAAAACAGAGGATTTTTCAGATCTAAAAGAGAGATCTTGAGGAGAGAAAAAAGAGAGCTTGGAGAGATTTTACAAGAGAGAGGTCAATTTCTTTTGGGTAAAAATCATAGCTTTATCTTTGAGACGAGCTTGTGGATTGTACAAGTCATCAGTGTTCTCCTTCATAGTGGAATCTCCACTCACCCCCTCCCGTGGACGTAGGCAAGTTTGCCGAACCACGTAAATCTCGTGTCTTTACTATTTTCTGGGTGTTGGCTATTGCTTGTAGGTTCCCTCGACAAATCAGTCCTAGAACTGATGAGAGGAAGAGTGTATATTTCACTTTATTGAGATATTTCGTTTTCTATTCTTGTTTCCTTTGTGAAACGGGCATATATAGGTTGGCTTGAGCTTTTGTGAAAATAAAAGCCAGGGGTTTCTCTCGGGTTATATCGCTTTCGCGACGTGATGACGTAACTCTACGCCCAACAGTACCCCAGGCAAAGCCAGAAATACATACATCTTTTTCAATATTAATACATAATCATCAATATTAATACAGAATCAGGGAGTCTAAGAAGATATAAAAGATATATTTTACTTCAATGCTATACATTCTCAAAAAAGTACAATTACAATGTGTCTCCTCACTGGGAATAGTTTTTCCTTTTATGGTCATGTAGGAAGGGCATTTTGGTCTCTTCGGTCGAGTTTGTACTAGTGGCTAAGTTAGTGTCGACTTTACAATTGTCGGCTGTGGAGTGGTCACGGAATGAGCGCAATCACTTTGACAAGATGGGACAGGCTAAAAGATGGTCTATAATGTTAAATATGCACATAAATGATATTAACCTATGAGAGAGATTGGAGAGGTGAGAAACTAAGAACGATGACGCGGCTAAAAGATGTTCTGAAGAACAAAAGGTCAAAATGTGAGTATTGGTTAACATCAAGAGGGAGGAAACTCAAAATTTTAATGTGAGGCTGAAGCAAAGTTCCCTCTGCAAGTTGCAGTTATGATTACAAGTTAGTTTCTTAAAAAGCCTAATAGATATAACTGCTGTAAAATCACATGGGACCACCACAACCACTAACAAAGCAAAGCAGCAATGGCAGGCTATGAACTGAACTGAACTGAACTTGTCAGTGTTCATTGGCAGTCACAAAACTAAATTTTGACACATAACTTTAAATTCAAAAAACAGAAACAAGAAACAAAAACAAAAAGACAGCCACAATCCCTGTCTGTAACAAAAGCGTGGGCTTTCAAGAAGTGCGTTTGTATAAGTCCAAAAGACCCATTCGTGTTCCCATTCCACTGAAAAGCGAACTCAAATAGAGTGAAGTGAAACATTGTAGTGACTTTTTTTCTCTCCTCATTTTGCACTTGTTTTGGGTGAGAAAAACAGTTGAAAAAAGATTAGAGTTATTGGAGCTGCAATTGTTGTTGTAGGGCTCCTTTTATTCTTCTTGTCGACGAATTTATTGATGAAGTCCCTCCTGCAAATCATTCAACAAACCATTAGAAGACACCGAGGCTTCAGGGCCGTCTCAAGCATTTTTTAGGCTTTAGGCAGAGAAAAATATTTAGGGCCTTAACATTAAAAAATTTAAATATTAGTTTTTAAAAAATAAATTTTATATAAAATTTAATTTTCTAGCTTTTTGAGATGCAAAATTACTAATTAAATTTTATATTCAAGCTTTAATATTCAATTGATAAAATTGTCAAATTATTTAATCTCTTGAGACATTGTTGAACGTAAATAAGATTTTATTAATAAAAAGATATAAAAGAAAAAAAATAAAAACACAAAATACAGAACATATCCATGAGCTATATATGTCTGTGTGTGTGAGATCGAGAGAGAGAGGAGAATGAATGTAAATTAATTAAAATAAATAAAAACCAACAAGCTTACGTTTTATTTTGGGGCCTTCTGGATTAGAATTGCAATTATGTATTTTGAGTATCAAAGATTAAATAAATATGAAAGATGAGTGAATGAGAAGAAAATAAAGGAAGTTAGCAAGAGAAAAAACGCATAAACTATGCATAAATAAGAATGAGTATTTAATGTGTTTTTCTCTTTTTTTTACTGTTACAATCTAATTAATTATAGAAATAAAATATAAAAAGTTACAATTAGAAAATATATTTTTTGGGGCCCCAATAAAATGGGGGCCCTAGGCATATGCCTTAATGGCCTATGCCTTCCGCCCCTCTGATGATTAAATTAGTGACTGAATGAGAAATATTGTGGAAATATAATTCAAAATTAGGAATGAAATCAGCCTGGGGGTTTTTCTTGCCAATCTTACCAGTTCTATTTATACTAATTCGGAGGGGTAGACTAGGAAAAGAGGAAAATCCATGTGGCATCATTTGGTCAGCCAGGCTGAATCATAGAGAAGTTTCCTCTAGAACTGAATTGTACACATGTCCCTCTAGCACTAGTCGAGATGGTTAGAATAGTAGCAGAGGACATAGGAAGAATAATCTTCACAGTCGTGTTGGCATCCCCACATGAGTTAATTAAGCTCCGCTATCTACCGGTGGGTGGGGTGGGGGGGGGGGGTGTCGAGCTTATCTTGTAGTTAGGGCATGCGTCGAGTAGGGCTCGGATGATAATGCTTGTTATGACTTGGAAGATAGTAAACCTCAAGCAAGGGAAGGACAACCATGCTACACAATGTGACTTTTAGTCAAGTCTTGTTTGGCTTTGTGGTTGAATTATAGACCCTTAATTATCACTAATTATCTTAAAATCACTCTAAACATTGGACCAAAACTCCAAAAGTTATGGTGATTATTGAGATTTATATTTTTATTATATTCTAATATGTCCCAGCAAGTTGAGCGTACTTGTTATGGGCCGAAGACTAGACTCACATATCAGTATCAATTTTTAGAAGATCTGTTCTAATTTCGTGGCTGGTGAAATTTGAAGTTTGGTTGCTCCGATACCAATTTATAGTTCTTCTAATCATTACATTAAGGGGGTGTTTGGTTGCATTGTTTTTGAGAAATGTTTTCTCAAAAGTACTGACGCATGGCATTTATGTAATTAAGAGTTTTCTATACATTTCTATAAACTGTGTTTGGCTCCAAAAAAATTTACAGAAATGTTTTCTGTAAAGTGCCCAAAAGTACCAAATTTTATGGAAATTGATTTCCTTCTAAAATGGGAGGAAATCTCTTGGAAATCTGACGCATTCATTATTTAAATAATAAAACTCATTAACTCTTTTCTACAAAGTTCTCACTTTTCTATAAAGTTGGTGGTGTTTGGTTACATTTCTATAAATTATAGGAAATGTTGCTATTTTTCCAAAAGTTATTTCTTATTTTCTTGTTTTGAACCAAACAAGCACAATACAAAAAATAAGAAAATTTGTACTTTTTAACTTCTCAAAATTACTTTTCCTATAATTTTTTTTAAGAAATACAAGGAAATCAAATTTGGGATGGAAAACATTTCCTATAATTTATAGAAATGTAACCAAACACCCCCTAAAACTCTAAAGTTATGATTAGAATTGAGGTTTATGTTTTTATTATATTCTAACATATTACTTGTTACTCAAAAGTCAGTTTTGTGGCACAACAATACTTCAAATTTTATGATCATATTTTTATATTAAATATATAAGTCTTCATATTTATTATTTAAGTCAGGCCCTTCTTACAAACTCAAATCAATGAATATAAAACCAACAATGAATGCGGCGGCTCGTTCTATCAGCGTCATTGTTGCATCCTCCAGATTATATGGATCTTGGCTTCCTCACAAACTATCAAATGTATTTTATTCTACTTTTTGTACGTCACTTTCAGGTGTGTATTTGGACTGAATGAATGAAGTAGAGGCTATTGCCATTTCTTATAATTGGCTTATAATCCAAAAATGTATTATAAGCTAAGTGGATTATAAGCTAAAATGTTTGGTAAAAAATTTATAAGTTGCTTTCTATAGGAGAGTATTTGACAAATGAGTATATTATAATCTTTCATTGTTGTCAAAATAACAAAAAAAAGACGTGACTATAAATTTAAACATTGGGTAAACTTCGGAATTAACTTAAATGGTTAGGGGTAAACTTAACATTTAGTTTGTTAAACTATATGGCTTATAAACCAAAAATATAAGCTACGTTAGGAGAGCTTACTTTTTGGTTTATAAACCAAAATAAGTAAGTTGTCAAACTTGTTGTAGTGATTTATAGAGGACAAAAATGACTTATAAGTCAGTTAACTAGTTAGCTCTTAGTGTGAAAAGGACAAGCTTTATCAAACACAAAACACAAGTACTCTCAAAACCAAAAGCCCCCCCCCCCCCCCCCCCCCCCCCCCCCACCCCCAAGTTGTTCCTCCCCTTAAAACCACCACCTTCTTCCCTCACCGTCACCCTCTCCCTCCTCAAAATGGGCACTCCAAATCTCAGCAGCCCCTGGGCCTCTCCTCCTCCGGACCCGAAAACCGAACCCAATAACCCATACACAAGAAACCAACAGTCGACTTATTATACCCGAACCAGATGACCACACAAAGAAGCTAGCCCCTAAGCGGGGCTCCAACAAGGACGCCCACACAAAAGTCGACGGCCGCGGGCGCCGCGTACGCATGCCCTCTGCGCCGCCCGCATCTTCCAGCTCACCGCGAGCTCGGCCACAAGTCGACGGGCGAGACCATCCAGTGGCTCCTCACCCATTCGAGCCCTCCGTCCTCGTGCTACCGGTCGGGTACGTGCCCGCGTCCGCTTTGACCACCGCCGCTCTTCCTCATCTCCTCTGCTGCTCTCCCGGCCCACCATCAGCGTTGTGGGCCCCACCAGCTCGGTTTCGGCCGGCGGGAATGCTGAATCCGCCATCAGTCTGAAACTTGCGGGGTCAGGAGCCGACGGGTCAGTTCTCGGTGGGGTTTTCCGAGGTTTATGGAGTTCTCCGCCGGCGGAGGGGTAGGATTTGGCTCGATATTGGCGGGTCGCGGGCAGCAAAGCGGGGCCTTGACGCTTGGATTTGGCTCAGGACGGGCAGCAGGATGTTGGGGTTCTGGGTTCTCAGGGTTTTAGCCAATTCTATCAGCAAATGGGGCAGCAGCCGGAGCCTCAAACTCCGGTAACCGATGATTCTCAAGGGTCAAGACGGTGAATTTTGATGAACTGGGGGAGAGAGAACCGAAAAGATTTGATCTTGGTGAAATTTGGCGTCTGGAAATGGCTGTGTTTTGTTTTATTGGTAAATTTTCCTTTGTTTTAACTTTGAGTTTTTTGGAGATTGGAGTTTAATGAATTGTTTCACTGGATTTTGTTTTTGGAACATGCAGGTGGTGTGTATATTTGAATGAAGGGAGCTGAGTTGAGTTGGGTTGAGTTTGGTGCCGACGAATTGTGTGCAGTTGCAGATATAAGAGGTGAAGTCATCTTTGATAATGTATTTTGATCTTAATTTTAGGTTGCATGAAGAATTGGCTTGTTTTTGTCATGAGAGAAGATCTTAATTTTGGGTTGCATGAAGATATTTGGCATGATATAACTTACTTCTACGGCCACACGATGTGATTTTCTCTAGGACTTCATTATGAGTTATCTTCCAACCCTGGAAAAAAAAATGAATTCACTGCTAATCGGGCTTGATGAATTATGCCAAATAAATTGGAGTTATTAATACTTGAAGAAGCTGTATCAGAGGTCTAGTGTTTCATATTTCAATCAAAGTGTTAGTGTTCATTTGTATGCCTTTATGAGAAGTACCTCCAGGCTTCTTCATGTTCAAAGTACGAACAGAATTATTGAACTTGTATATTCAATTTTGGTAATTAATAGGATGGGAGCTATACGTTGGATTTAAATCTAATTAAATCTATTTGTGGGCACATATGTTTCGTCAATGTGTGTTGCTATCCTTAAGGATAACTCGCATAAAGTGATTAATCAAATTGGATTAATGGGTGTTTAAATAAATCATGAGCTAAATGTACAGATACCAGGTTGTAATTATAATTTGATGATGGGGCAAATTATAAAAGTAACAGTATAATACTTATAAATAAGGGGTTATGGTCCCTAATCTAAGGGTTAAGGTTCTCATTCTTTTCACCCCCCTCTAAGAGAGAAACTCAAGAGAGCCCCTCTAGATTAGAAGATCTCAAACCCAAGATTAAGATCCGTGCAAATTCAGATGGATTCAGGTATAGCTTCCGCTCATTGTGTTTTAATTTCTTTGAATTAATCATGGTTTTATGGATTAGATCTTAAATTTAAGGTCTATCACTATAGACAGGGTTTTGTTTGATTCGAAGACAGTATTGTTTACAAGGTTCTCTTTTTATTTTAACATCATAAAAAACCAGAGACATAAGCTCCGGAGGAACTTCTCTAAACCCAAATTAGCTATCTCAGATTATCGACCATAGCAGAGACAAATTCACTAGAAGCATTCACTATCATATATTCATATTAGCATAGAAGTTATGCACAGTGTGCTATTAACTATACCTGGTGGTTCTTATGCTTGGTTTGTGTAAAGGAATGCCAGAAGAGAAGGGTTTGGCAAGATAAAAGTAAAACGAAGTACTAACATATCAAACTACGTTTTCTCACATAAGAACAGACAAGAGCTGTAATTGAATGTTATTGACGTGAATATTTTCCCTTTGAACTTTTAATATCAAAAAATGTCAGATAGGCGACTGGAAATCAGATTTTATTTTATTTTTGTCATATTTTTTCATAGGAAATGCTGCCAGGCACAATATGATCTATATAGTTTTTAGATTTGATGAAACTTTTCTGGAACATGAAGAGTGATAGAAAATATGTATTAAACGTTAGACAAAAAGAGTACCTAGACCCTTGAGAACTATGAACTTTGTGATCATTATGTGGTTGTATTTGTCTTATTGGCCTATAGTTTTCATGCATATTGTGAACAACTTGAGAAGCCTTTATTGGATTGTAAGTAAAAAATGAACTGAAGTTTGTACGTATTTAGATCTCTCTTCTGACATATTTTGTGGAGGAAAGAAATGTTATGGATTTGATGACATTCAACCAAAGTTGCATGGGTGCCGTTATGGGTACGGGTAAGGACACAACAAGTTTGTAAAAGGTAGGCTACGAGGACGCGGCTATATATGTATGTTATGTATATTTATATGTATTAAAATTAACAATTTACATAAGACTATTGTTTTTTCATTTCCATAAGATCAATATAAAAGATATAGATGTGGAGTGTAGGATATACGTCCATGAAGTGTATGTGTATGTATTATATAATTGAGTATATGCTTGAATAAATATATGCATATATTCAAATAAGTGTCTTAAGAATTTTCGGCAGGGGTACGAGTATGTGTTGGATATGGGTACAGTTTCCGATAGAAGTACCCAGGTAACGTACTCAGGGCATGTTTCATTGCCTTGTAGGATTTATGACTCAAAGCTTATCGATAATAAGCTTGGCATAGAGTGGAGGGATCATCTTATGTTAAAAACATTGTAGCTAAATGTTATTTAGGTGCTCTTTCCAAAATTTTCTTCTTTTTTGGGAGAAAATTTGTCAGTGTTCAAGCTTGGTATCTAGTATCTCGATAAAAATTCCGATCGGCCTCTACTAAAGCCAATGGAAAACTGCAAGCCACATCTTGCTTTTGTTCAGTGATGTCGGAAGAACTCTAGACAGATTCATATGGACATACTGTCAACCTGATGTTCTGCATCTTCTCTTGAACGATATGATGTGACGAGTTTTTCTTTTGGAAATACACAAACATTAGGAGTTATTAGTTTATTATTTATTCATTGCTTTACGAATTTGTTCAGATTTTTATTTTTTATTTTTATTTTCCGAGAATGAGAATCTTGATGACAATTCAAATGCTTGAGAAGGGGTTGATTTGTTTGCTAGCCAGCCCAGCCTTCTTTCAGTTGGTCCTTGAAATCTTTTGCGATGCCATTATCACTCTATCCTCTATGCCTCTATTTGCTTTGCCAATGTTAATTGAAGCCTTCGGCAATTCATGCCATAGACTCACAGAGAGGAGATTGCAACTTCAGTTACGTGACAACAGTCAAAACATACGTGTGCACTAGGAGCGGTTACGAAGCTCCATCATAATATTCTCCGTACTCAACTAGTCATTATTTCCATTCTACTTAATAGTAGTTGCTACATCGTCATGTCAAAATAGATCCCCGAATTACCTCCAAGAGCATCACAAAGTTCAGATATTAATCAAAATCTAGCTCGTGATCATTTCAGTCCGCGACACAGACAACAGCCTCCGCATTGCTCTATAACAAAAAGAGAGGTATAACCTAAATGGATACATAGTCCATTCTCTTGCTGCCATCAGACCAGTGGAAGCTCGCCACAGTCGCTGATGACAACCTTCTTCTTAGGGCGGTCGCCTCGGTCTGTCTCTTGAGATTCAATCAGCTTGACGACATCCATCCCCTCCATTACCTGCCCAAATACGACGTGCCTCTGATCCAACCATGGGGTCTGCAATTGAAGCTTAAAATTACCAATATGAAGGAGAAAAAAGCTTCTAATCAACCCATACGTTATAGACCGCTTTTCTAAGCAAACCTATGTTATTATTTATTGCAAACCAACCCACAAATCTCCATTCTGTCTTCTTTCTTAGATCATCTTGTGAAACTTCAAGAGGGGTGAGGTATTGTTGGCATACCCCCCCCCCCCACCCCACAAAAAAAGGACAAAAAAAAGACTAGCTATATTCGCGAGCATGGCCTAAGAAAAAAGATGGAATGCGAAGTTGACAACTAACATGCAAAAACTAAAAACATAAGTGCTACTTAGAAAAGCAGTCTATAAACTGGGGGCTAAAGAGACCACGTTCTCTAAATAAAGTGTTAGCACATCGAGATACTATCCAGTTTATCCCTGTCTATACGATTAATGGTGCACCAAGAACAACAAAAAAGCTTGGGATTAGTTCACTGATCAAATAAATATCTTGGCGCACCAAAAAGTTATCAAAGAATCAGATTTATGAGCCTATATGGTCCGTATATCTATTTCATCTTCAGCTTTTATGCGAGTATACGCTTCAACTGACAATGTATATAAAGTGTCTGCAAATGGACAAACTATGATGTCGTCCCTATTCACGGGACTAAAGGTGCACCAAGGAAAACAAGAAAGCTCAGGCTTAGTGCATAAACAGGTATTCTTTTCTTGGTACACTTTATCCAGCAAACAGAGACAACCAGATAGTTTCCATGTAGATGAGTTCTCCCCTCAAAATTACTCATGCATCTCGTGGATATTAGAATGACAAATCTCAAGAAGGAATAGTATTGGTAACAGTAATAAAAAGTAATAATCATTTTGGAATACCTTGACAGTGCAAATGAAGAACTGGCTTCCATTAGTGTTAGGTCCTGCATTTGCCATACTAACAACTCCAGGTCCCACATGCACCACTGAAGAAGTAAAAGGGGAGTTTTCAGGTGTGAGATATAAGTACCTGATAGAGGAAAATTATAGGTTAACGAAGTTTACTTACACTTGAAGTTCTCATCCTTGAATGTACGTCCATATATGCTTTTACCTCCGGTTCCCTACAAAGTGAGAGTAGGTAATCCAAAGAAAATTATGTTCTTTTATAGTCATGCAACTAGAATTAATACATAAAAAAAATCATTTTATCACCCGTTGTTTGTAGTGGCTACGGGTACTAAAAGACTAAAACATGCAAAAGATAGATTAAAAGGAGTACGTTAAGTCTTGGGTCCTTCATTTTTCAAACTTCCTAATATACCCTTCTGCGCCTATTATTTTTGCTACTCCCTAAAATACCTCTGTCCTATCTATAAACCTTTTTATATTCACGAAAGGATTTGCAGAAATGGTCTTTATAAATCTTTAATTGATTAAAATTAATCCTTGATGTGATTACAAAATTAAATCTTCATGGTTCAGCAAAGAATTCTAATTACAATTGAACTAGAATTGTTATAGAAAAAAACCAGTAACTATTGCTCCAGGAATTACAAGCAACTGTGGCTTAAAAAATAGCAAGCTACAGGAATACAAACATAATAAAAGAAATTCATAATGGTTGCACGCTCTGAATAATGTATACATGTATACTTTTCTCTAACCCCAAATACAAGAAAGATAAACAATACAATAATACAAAGGTCAACAATGATAGTTATAGAAAAAGACTAAACGGCAACGTGTATTAGACGTAGACTTAGGATTTTTGGAACGTAACGTAACGTCGTGAACAAAGAGTTTATTTCTACAAATAGAAATAAAAAAGGCACCATGTTTGGCGTTCACAACGAAGCATATGTTATAAGCTGACCTGTTTCATAACATTCATTGCCACTATGTGGAAACTACAAATTTCAATTCACATGGGAATAAAATTTCAATGCAAAATACAAAGCAGTAGCCGTTTCGCAATAGCTGCAGAAAAAGATAACTGAAGTTGAATACTCACATTTCCCTTGTCAAAGTCTCCCCCTTGGATCATGAATTCTTTGATGACACGATGGAATGCTGACCCTTTGTACCCAAAGCCTTTCTCCCCTGGTAACGATAAAACATGTATACGAACTTCATCAAACACTACACAATGACTATTGAATGCATCCAAGAAAAAGAATGTAATCAATTCATGTAATATGCCAAATGAATTTAGGCCTCAAACCTGTACAAAGAGCTCGAAAGTTTTCTGCAGTTTGTGGCACATCATCCCCAAAAAGCCCTATAACGATCCTACCAACTGGACTACCCACAGGGTTTCCAATGCTAATATCAAAATACACTTTTTGAGTGACTTTAGATTGCAATGCAGGCTCCTGAATTTTCATTGAACAATGAAGAACAATAATCAGCAACAAACAGTTTCAATGGAAATCCAGCAGACTTTGAAGACCAAGGGGAAAAAAACTATATAAGCCTACATAAACAAACAATTCAACATTAAAATAGAAAATATGAACAAATTAAACAGTAAAACGATAATAAAAGAGACATAACAGTCGTTGCAACAAGCGTTCTAATGGAAATCCAGCAGGACTACATAAACAATAATGGAAGGACTATTTCACCTAAATTTGAATGGGTAGGAACCAAGATAAAATAGTAACTGGTACCACTTAATATAGCAAACTCCAGCCGCCATGAATATTATTCTTGAAGCACTGAAATAAATGCAATAAACGTAATAAAAAAGAAGAGATTTCTTTTCTTGGACCTTCATGTACCACTAATCAAAACGATTTAAATTAAATTGACACCATAGTCACTAGTTATGAACACAATAAAGAAAATGACCAATAACTGCTATATTCCCGATAGCTTTCCAGAATATCAAATATTTAAGCACTGTCCTCTTACAGAAACAATTTATCTTTCAATGCTTGATCTACCAAAAAGTAAAGTAATGTTACTCCAACTTCAACCTTGCATCACCAAAGAGTAGACATTAAAAACAGAGAGCATAAACAAATTACAGAAAGCACAAAAAGAAAACTAATGTAATAAGAAAATTCTCAATCCCATATCACAATCACAAACTAGACAATAGGTCGGTCTACAGTTTCTTCATTACGCCTTAAACCTCACCAGTGACTTCCAAAACACCAAAATGTACTATAATGCACTAACGAAAAAAAGAACTTGTCCTCTTTATCTGCAAAGCCCAGACAAATAAAGGTAGATAAAAGAATGCTGGAGATCACATTTGAGTATAATCTCGTAGTTAAAAGAAGTAGAAAAGTCTAAAGTTCTTACACCTGCAATTATTTTCTAAAAGTGGTATTCGAACAGCTGAACCTGGCTAGACCCAAGTTCTCTCTACTTTGAATTGCAAATATTGAAATCTCATCTCAAACAATAAGATCCAACCACAAATTCTCAATCCCCAAAAGAAGGGGATCCAATCCAGAACAGAAGTTAACATAATATTCACGGGCTAAAACCCTAAACCCCCAATCCAACTTTGAGCGCAAAATTTGTTAGCATGAATAAACAAAGATAAATGAGTCTATAAAACCCTAACCCCCTAATCCCCAGAAGGCAAAAAATCTTGTCATCAACTAGCGATTCCAAAACCCTAAAAGACAGTAGAACCCCAAAACCCTAATTGGAAAAAGGAGCAGCAAACCTGCAATGCGGACCGAATCGAGCTGAAGGATCGGGTCCGAACCCGACAAGGAGGGCTCGAGATCGAAACGAAGGACTTGGACGAGATTTCCCTTGACCACTGAGGGCATTTTCGGAAGCTCGATATGGCG